CTCAGGGGGTAGGGGAATGAAAACCCCCCCCCCCCCCCCCCCATCCCCTTAATCACCAATCACCAAGATTAAAACAGCTCTTAAAATCACCAAGATACATTCAGGCCAAACACCAATCACCAAGAATTCCTGAATCACGTTTCACGCAGAATATATATTGGGCTCAAATAACACATCACGCTCGAAAAATAAGACCAATCACGCGGAACACAAAAGTATTACTATATATCCTCTACTCAGAGCACGTATTGCACCAGTACTAGCTCAGTGGTGATATACAGTCACAACCATACTGAGATTATAATTCTCTCGATCCCGACTTTAAAACATGCTTTTCTAGATTTCAGTGTAGTTTTAAAATAACATGGTCGCTATATGTATATCTGTGTTTGATGACAGCATAAAAAGTTTTAGGTGGAATGTAATCTTTACAAGCTATATTAGACTGATGGTCTGACTCTGAGGAGAAGAGTATTCTATATATAATAGTGTACCGGTAGGATCTGAAATTGTATCTGTCTCTCTTCAACAATGTGTGAACTTGAACCCGAGTTTAGATGTTGAAGATGAAACTTTGTGTCCTGGCACAGCACAATATACAGTATGCATGTATCTGGATATGTCTTTATGTAATAGAATCGGCCAGGACTGTAGCCAGCAACTTCAAAAGGTTTTTTTTCTGAAAATGTTGAATTTTTTACCACATTAGTTGATTGAACGTGATCCATGGAATAGAACATAGGTAACATTGTGATTCAGAGCGGACCTTCTCCAACCAAAAGGGTGGCCCTTTTAACCCCCACCCCACCCCAAACGCCAGTGTCTAAGATTAATCTTGCTCATATGTGTATGTAAATTCGCATATTACTTTGTTTTCTTGCCTCAGTGTTTGCTTCCCATTTATATATACAATATATCTTCCCCTGACTTGGTTTCAGTTTTAATAATCAAAGGTGCACTTCATACCTGACGCGGGGAGAATAAGGGGGTGGGGGGATGAGTATACATGTATATCATAAATAAGTTATAATACTGATGCATCTATGAAGATCTACATAAAAATGTAATATATAATTCGAACTTTCCGCCCCATGCTGCACTATCCAAGATTCCAACCATTGGAAAACCCAAAAAAGATTATTTACTGTTGGAACTTACAGCAATATTGGATCGTAGTCTTATCAATTCGAGACCCCCACGTTTACTAATAAAATTGATAGCGAGCGAAGTTATTATTTACCGAAGGTTTACACCAAATATGTACAACGTAGCAATCTTGAGGGTTTATCATTTAGGAGTTATTCTCGCGAGTCAACCGTAATATCTAGGTCTATAGCATTCCCATTTATTCACTAGTGACTAATTCTGTTTCTCCTTTCAACACCAGCTCCAAATCTCCGTATCAATATTATCATCTTTCAAACTACAAATGTAACAACAAAATTTCAATTATTTGCACCGCTGATTGTAGGCCATACACAGAATGTGTAAATTAAATACAACTGGAGTGATTTTCAGGTGCTCAAGAGCGTTGAGGAAGCTGCTGGAATTCACTTATGTTAATGTGTTTATTGCTAGTGTTGTTGTTGTTCCAGTAAATGTTTGTCGCAGGATGTTTACAGTCCCGCTTTTATCAAATAAAAGGCATGGGGGACTTTGTAAATAAAGTGAGTCCACTAAAAGTTTCGTCTAAGCAAGTCAAGTGCATTACGGTTCAGCAAATACCCTAGTCCTTTATGTTGCAAGGTGAAAAAGGATTACTAGTAAGTGTATTTGAAGTGTCTGGGTCTGAGTTAAGGAAATGTATTCTAGATAGCACAGCCTACTGCGCCCGGGGGATTCGGTATCATTTGACATTTAAGATAACCAGAGATAATGCAGGTGTTATGACCACAATTAAGCGATATGTACCTGGATGGTTAAGAATATCCTGGCTGATGACTCGGATACAATATACCCGAGTCTACTAGTAAGTTGCTGACACAATAACAATTTAGTCAAAGGTACTCGTCCTATTACTGCTGTGACGTGAGTCTATAACTCACTATCATGTACGTATGGCACGCCCCTTCCCTACCCGGGTTCCTCTTTTTAAGCGCCTACCACGTTTTAAACCCATTCCCCGAAAGAATGTTGATGCACACGTCGACCTTGCAAGTCTTCTTCATTTTATTTAACCAACATATCTGTTTCCCTGTCATTTATGGTCAAATCAATCATGTAGTGTGTATGGTAGGCCTCGCTCCCCTGAGTTCAGTTTTGAGCGCTGTAACTATAAAAGACTTATTCATATTATTTAGCCAACATATCCACCCCCCTGCTATTTTTGTTCATATTGTACGCATAAACTCCCATATAACAAGGCCCTTCATATATTACAGTGATGCAGTATTCAATTTGATAGATTTAACTTATTAAAGTGACAATGTTGTTTAAACGGATATCCCCTACCTTTTTACTGGGTTATTTTTTATACTTGCGCACTCTTTTACAAACACGACTTTAAGCCATTCGCAGTAAATTTACAATGGTTTTGAAAGTATAAAGCTATCTACACTGGCGATCGATTGATCAAATTTGAGTGTTTTGTGAAAGGGTACAATAGCTGAGTTGGGGTCGATAAAATGTGTTAGGAAGCGTCAACAAATCACAGTAGCCCCTATTTATTTCATTTGTGAGTGTAAGCGACAAAATATATCAGCAATTAGTGAATAGGTGTTTTTTATCACCTTTAACGTGTGGTCGATTTGGAATTGTAGAGACACAAAGCCTACAGCGCATTAAAGATTTTCACTGCGTGGAATTGTTTCCTATTCTTTTTCTCGTATTTCACAATTAAGTTACGCATTTGTACTGGTACAGATGATCCAACAATTGAACGAACGTGCAAGCAAAAAATGGATTTAACCATTTAAAAAAATATTCCAGTTTTGATAACGAAAAAATAAAAATTTTAATAACTAAATTATTTCAGGCGACACAAGCATCACAAGAACTGCAAACGAGTGGGCAAAATAAATAAGCGTCGTCAAAAGCAATGTCTTCTAACGACCAGCCAGGAGACATTTAAAGCCTTCTCCGCCCGACCCCGCTCCAGCAAGAGACCGCCACAGACACCACGTGACCCTAACCCACCCCCCATGATGTTCAAGACGAACCAGAGGGATGACTTCAGACCACACGGTGAAGTGCCTAGGGTCCAACCGTTTGCGTTTGTAAGTTGATTCACACTGTAAAAAAATTCATAATAATATCATGTTTTAAAGGAATGGTTTTGAGTGGTGTCACGAATGTAAAAAGATCAAAATTACTACCGTGTCATTTTTGTTTCAACATAAAGTGTGTAAAATTAAATAGAAATGGCTGTCGTAACAAAAAAAAAAAAAAAAAAAGAAAGAAAAAGAAAAGAAAGAAAAAGAAAAGAAAAAAAAGGATGACAATTTTATCTGGTTTCTTTGCAGCCTGACACATACGAGATAGACAAGGGACCGTTTCAAAACGTCACTTTCTACAGCGCCGAATATGGTCCAAAAGAGCTCCCCTCAGAGACCATCTTGCGCCCCACTTCCCAGGGGAGGTACATGAGGAAAACGTCGGCAAAGTTAGACACACGGACGACCAATAAAGAATCTTTCAAACACTGGGTGCCTCAGCCAGCCATTCGTTTCGGAGAGCTTCCAAGTTTTACAGGTAGNGAATGATGATGAAGATTAAAATATAAAGTTATTTTTTTCTATGATGCTTTAAGAATATTTTTAGAACATGATAAACAGAGAGCGTGGCGAATTTCATTAAGCAACTTTTCAAAAAGGAAAGGAAGAGAAAACAAAGCAATTACAAACGCTCATTTTAACTACCATACACTCAGTCCACGACTCATTTTATTCCAGTTCATGCTAATTTGTACATTTACACTATATATATTCAAGCTGCGGTCCACCACTGTAATCTTAAATATCTGAATTCCTGTCTCACAGGCAAATGTTCGTGACAGAGCAGAGAGCCAATTTCCCAGGCCACGACCCCAAGCTGAACCCGATGCCAGAACCGTTCGTCAAGGAGGATCAGACATACAGACCTAAGGACGGGAAGTTTGATGGTCTTACTGTCACCATGGTATGTATTTTCCCCGAATTTTTATTATGGTAGAGAACCAGTAAGGATCGTTCATCACCTGTTTTATTTTTAAGTACGGAGATTTAAGATCTGTCATATTGCATGTCTGGCAAAAACACTATTTTCTTTTTTTTTCTCTAGCTTTGTTTAGTTTTTGACTTCATCAATATCATCATGGGATTTGTGAATTCATAATTTTAGGTTATATAACCATGTGTAGTAACATTGCAAAGACGTTGCAATACAAGAACACAGTTTTTAACTTTTAAATTTTAGGACTTTTTAATGACAAAAACCAACCAAAAGACAGAAATGCAAACACAAACGGTATTTCATAAACATTATATTTTCAGGCCGACTTCACCGAGAAAGAACTAGCTGCTGCACACGTGCCACGAGCATTGGCGCCAATTACGAAGTTGGACGAAAACAAGCCGAAGTTTGACGGCCGCACAAGCTTCAAGGAATTCTACAAGAACTGGAACGTGCAACCAAGAAAGCGATACGGAGACTTCCATGAGGCTCAGAAATATTTCCCTCCCATTGAGAAGTTCGACACTAAGTCTACGACCCAGGCTACTTACATTCCAAAAGAGTTTGACCCCGTAAAGCCATATATTCCCGAAGAGCATACTCTAAATAAGGACGGTAAGCTAGACTTTACTACCGTCAATGCGGACACTTATAAGCGACCACCCGTCAAATTGTGCAAGGCAGAGGCTTTTCTAATTCAACAAAAATTAAAAAAGGAACAGCAAGAGACATTGAGGCAGCAGCAGGAACCGTTGAATAAATCTCAAACGAGGTCAAACAAAACCCCGATTGCTGCGAAATAATATGGAGACAATTTGATAAAGAAGTGAACTTGCCGCAAGTAAATTTAATTGCTCACGAAGTATTGACGTCTATTAAAGAATAACGCACATCTGTGCTTATTATAAAACTAGGAGAACTTTTCAAAATAAAGGCAATGTGCCTGACAATCAATGGATGCAGAATTCTCAAGTGCATAGCTACGGGAGTCTTTGTGCCATATGTGAAAAGAAGCCACAGAAAAAAAAACAGTTAGGTGTCGTTGTCGTGAGGTTATACGGATCTTAACAATTTTGCTAGTTTTTGTAATCATATCTCCTGTAATGTGCTTCCCGAGGTTTTCTCTCCGTGTTGAAAACTAAGTTATGATGGGGTAAATATTGTCAAAAGGTTATACATTGTCCTTTTTATCTTGATTTTTTTATGAGGTAGTTAATGTGCTCAAATAAAAAAGGTTAATTGTAAGCATAATAATTTTAAAAAAGAGGTCAGTGGAAAGTATTAAGGGTAAATTGAATTCAGCATTAAAATATACATAGTGCTGTTACTTTATAGCAAAGTTGTTTTCAATTTTTCTGATGTTTTTGAGTGCCTTTGGAAAGGCAGCTCCTGAGAGAATAAATGGAGAGCTTTCCAGAAGTTATTTTCCCCACATACTATAATAACGGGGTGAGGCTTATAAAACCAATGTTACTCTACCTCTGTACTTACTCCCTAGGGTCCGCCAGAGCCTTATTTTATATTTGAAGTTTATCCTTTTTTTATACACCAAAGAGCTTCTGCACTTGCGTCACCCATAGGTTTGGCTACTGCATGATGTGAAGCATGTCTTAACATTAAGCATATAAAACGCTGGGCATTTTCCTTAATCCGAAATATACATGTATGTGACGTCACAGACGTTCAATGCCAACGTTAAATATAACTTGGGAACAATATTTTGATACGTTTTACACCTTACTGCTTAAAGTGTTAAAAAACCAAAACCAAAAAATCGATTCCCATTTTGTGATAAACAGTGCTTTTTGCACGCTTGTGATATCAATTTTTTTAAATATGACTATTATTGCTCGTATTGGCTCCTACTTTGTATTGCAGCGAGTTATTGATATTTAAAATGATAACAGCATTGTTTTGTGGGAATTTTTGCTGATGACAAATGTATGTTTAGATCAGTGTAAAAGATATATAATATCCGCCTTATCAAGAGCTATGGGAGATAATGAGGCATTTCCTCCGTAATTTATGTTGTCAGGTAATATCTTATAATTTCCGGTAGCCCTTCCGAATATTTTAATGTTTTCGTCAACTGTTTACAGGAACTATACAAAATGACATTGTTCTTTCAACGTTTAAATTGTTTTTGTATTCAGACAAAACATGGGTTAATGTGTTGGGAATTGAATGGTCTTTGGTAATTTTTACAATAATTAGATTGTCACTGTATTGGAGAGAGAGAGTGAGATAAAAGTTGTCATTCCTCCGATAATATGACACTGACTGGGCACACATGTGACAACGCACTCGGTGCAGAAATTTTGATAAAAATGCATTTCTGAGGCATTAACTTTTATTTTTCTTTTTACACCTGTAATGTACAGAATGATATTGTCTTTGTAAATACAATAAAATGAACGATAAATAGAAAAGTTTCGTGGTTGTTTAATTTTTATTTAGTCACTACATTTCAGTTCCAAGAAGGTTCCCGGAATTTAAGGGTAGTTTCCTTTATTTTTCTATTAATCACCTCGCGTGACTCAAAACATTATTTTTTCCTTCAAAAACAGTAAAATTAGTGATGCGGAAAGGGGTTTGTAAATACCAAATTTTAATTTCCTTTTTGTACATTGAGAAGTTCACCTGAAGAAGAAGGTGAAAAAGCACCTTGATGTTCTGAGTAGTCAAGACGATTTTCCTCACATCACGTGCTGTGATTTTAATTTGAAAGATAATCTGCACTTACATTTCAGAAAAATATCGACATCAGATAAGCTTATTTGAAGGGGTTTATTGTTTTCACGGCCAGAATTGCAGGAAATTAATTTAACACATTGCTATGGGACATGTTCAAACGCATATACAGCACGTAAGTTGCCGCCGCTAAATGACGCAGCGCCTCGAATGCATGTATTTGGCCTCAGTAATTTTTTTTTTTTTGTATTTGATTTTAAAAGCTTTTATTTTGTCACAACTTAATTAGCATATACACTGCAATACATGGGCACGTATAACGATATTTCAAACAGTACAAAAATGAAACAGATATATTGTTGATTCAAAGACATAGAGCTTGTGGTTATAGGTTTAAATGCACAAAACAAGTTTATTTTATTTTATTTTATTTTTCAAATCTATCCCTTTTCTCGTGTTCTCTCCTAACATTTACCCTTCACCGGGTGCCGCGTCTTTCCATTTCCATTTCATTTCAAGAAACAAATTTGATCCAACTCATTTGTCACAACTACCACATTCACACTTATTCACATGCGACTCACTTTAAATAAAACTGAACCTGAAAAGTTTGAAAAATTTTCATAGCATTAATGCCAAAAGGTCACTGCTCCTCTGGTATTGCTTTAACCTTAAAGACAAAGGTCGCTCTGCCATTCCGTGCCTTCAAGCATACCTGTATAATTTAAGATATACACGCTGAGCTTAGCTAGCTCACAAGAAGTGGTGCACCACTGAGAATGACTAACGCAACATAGCACAGCTACAAGATGCCTAATGTAATATGATCGACTTTTTTATATTTTCACGTGCCGAAACCTTGTAAGCGGTCGGCTTATCAGTGAATGCAGAAGTCGAAATAAGAAACAAGGTTCGGATAGTGCAGGTAATGGCTCGTTCTCACTATGTTACCCTACATATCCTGGACTTTTTCTTGCTAGTCTCTCTGCTTCGCTAACCGCGTCGACCTAAATAGGCACTTGACTTTTTTAAAATTCGACCTATATTTAAAAATAACTGTGCTCCACTTGCAAGCTTACGTGATGCTATTTGTTGAAGGTACACTGTAGCACATGAATCATTCAAAAATTACACGCTCAAGATATATCAAACATGTAAATATTTTCATTTCCCCACAAGGGATATTTTTAAAACGATAACGTTCTGACATACATACAATTAAACCATTCACCAAGGGATCATTGCACATAGTAACGGGTAATTGTACTAGGGTACGTTAATTAAAATATATAAATGATAGAGTTTCCATGTGGTTTGTGGTTAATGGCATTTTAGGCCGACTTAAATAAAAGGGTAAACATAGAAAAGATCGAAGCTGTGCGGGTTAGCATGTGTTTTTATACTCAATGACATGCATATATCAGATATGCGGTCTATGTTACAAGCTTAGTACAAGTACATTCATGCAGTCGAGCATATGCATGTAAGTGTCTACGAACAACCTATATTTGCATATTACTGAAGTTGAGAAGAGGGGTGAATGTAGCGTTTTAACCCCAATCCCCCCCACCCCCCACCTCCAACGTACGCCACGCTTTTTAATTCACTCCACAGTGCTGATAAAAACACGTAGCTTTGTTTTTATAACCCTTTCTGTTCTAATGCACTTCAATGAGTAAATATATGCTTTTTACCGCAAACGTAACTATTGAACAGTAGCCATATGCATCTGCTTTGGCTGCCAGCGACAATATACATGTGCATCTGGGCCTATATGCATGTTGGTCTATTGTATGGTTGTGATGTGTGGTATCACAGTTGCATTACTTACTGATGCCTAATACAAGATGCATATGACAGAGTATGAAAATAACAAAACACAGACAAGTGTTTCCAAGTAGAATAGCCTATAATTTATAAACATTTTGCAGCGCATACGTGCAGACACAGTTGGACTGGGCAGACTGGAAGCAACACACATACGGTTCTTTGCGGAATATAGTATATGATGGCGTACATACAGAAGAGACACAGTTTCTGCTGTAACTTTAATCCAATTCTAGTGTCAGAGCAGGACTAATGGGCAACGGGATTGGGTGTGGCCTATTTATTTAGCAAGGCGATATTGTGAAACCCAGTCGACAAAATTTAAGGCACCTTGGCCAATTATCAGTCAGTTTACCAGTCGTGGAGACAGGCAAGATGAAGTGTGGGAAAATTGAGACGTCCTAGCTGCCCGTAGCTGTACGTGACTGCAATTTCAAGTTATTTTTTCAGTACTCTGTCCTGACCCATACTACTTTAATTCACTGATCCCAAAACACGGAAATAAGGACGCTACTATTTATAGAAGGCCTCTAAAGCTCTAAGCTACAATTGGGTCATATGTGCAATAAATTACATTGATCATGGCTACTCGCACCAATGTGAATGAACAGCGGCCTCAGATGGAAGATGAGATGTATACCAAGAATCCATGTTCAATGCACAGCAACCCACAGACATGCAGCCGCCGTGTTGTTCGCTTTGCATATCTCAGGCTCGTAGGGTTTTCCACGGTGTTCGTGTTCGTATTCACGGCGTGGAACGGGCTGCAGACCCTCCAGAGCAGTTTATACAGCGAGCATGGACTGGGGCTTACTGTTCTGACTGTAGGTTACAGCGTCAGTGCCCTGGGCGCTTTATTCGCCCCAGTCCTGGTCGAAAAAATCGGCTGCAAGAAAGCCATCATTGCAGGCATCTGCTCAGCGATTGGCTTCTTTTGTGCCAATTTCTATCCTCGGATGTATACCCTCGTTCCTACTGTCTTCGTTTTCGGGTTGCTAGGCAACGTGCTAATGACTGCTGCTAGCTGTTTTGTCACCACCTTGGCTATAAAAGCCGCACGAGCGTCTGGAAGGGAGGAAGACATTCTAATAAGTGGATTTAATGGGACGTTCGCGTCATTCTTTAAAACCACTAACATATTTGGGAATCTGATTTCGTGGCTAGTGCTAAAACAGTCTGACCATACGGGCCAAAACCAATCGCTAGACACCAAAAATGACACATTTCTGTACAATGTTTCCCAAATGCAGCGTACTCAGGATACAACATATACCATCAATGTAACTGTTTGTAGTTTATACAGCGACCCAAGCATCTTACGGAGTCTTCATTCCCACGCTAGCACTCAGTCCCCAAAACCTGACAAAGAGTTAGTCTTGCTACTTGTTGGCGTGTATGTAGCCCTGTCAGTTACTGGCGCTATTGGTGCTCTGTTTCTAATCAAAGAAGTCGATGTCCACAAAGATTCGACCCATGAAAAGCCTCCACCAGCTAAAGTAACACAGGTGTCCCAATTAAGACTTTCCATATTGTCCACTATTCTTTTGCTCCGAGAATTCAAGATGGCGGCGTTGCTGCCAATGATTGCGTGGAGTGCGATGCATTTAGGGTTCCTGTTTGCGGAATTTACAAAGGTAGGGCAGCTATGTTGTAAAGATGATGGTTGGGTGTTCTTATAAACCACACTACACCTGAGTCTCGGCGCTGTGTTGTACCTTTTATTTTGGGATTAGATCTGTTGAATCGATAGAAAAGAAGCTGAAAACTGACAGAAGAGTGTTGTTTACATTAACCAAATTAGATGCTTTGAAGTTCTCCTTCTCGATCCCTTACCTTTTTTTATTTCTTCCTTTTCCTTTTTTGTCTTTCTTTCTTTCTTTTTTCGTTTGTTTGTTCCTTGTTTTGAATTATTTTTTTCTACGTGCTTTGGTAAAGATTAGTTGTATTGCGACAAAATGTGTAATATACAGGTGCACGAAAACGGCGTATCTTTGAACTGTTTCAGACATTTAAAACGTGCAACTGATGTGGTAACTAATGTGTACTGCATTTATATGCTTCATAATTACATTAGAAATGTATTTCCGTGTGTGCACTTTTCAGATAACAGATCAAAGAGTGTTGTGATAGGATTATACGGGAAACTAAAACTGAAATTGCTATTCTCAGCTTTAATTCATTTTGGTAATGGTGTGCATGATTGACGTGGTTGTATAACGTAGTAAATACTTAAGGCTCACATACGCGCACCGAATATTGAGCTTTTTATACTATGCATTCATATGCATCATGATTGCGAAGAACGCACTGTATGAAGTGGCTGATTTCTAGGTTTTTGATTGATAGGAGATTGTAGTACTACGGTATATTCAAGTCACGTTCACAACCAGCCGATTTTAAGACCCTCAGTCGTTCGTTCGATATTTTGTCGTCTTGTGACGTCAGTCAGGCTAAGCCCAATCTGGAAAAATTTATCAAAGCGCCCGAGTTTGATCTACGGCACGCGAGGGACTATATTTCCGAGCAGAGGCCGGGGTATCAAGCAGTTCAAACATCACCTGTATAGGTCGGCATGGATCGCCAAGAATTACGCAAAATCTTTGAACACTACTGTAGTGTATGCATTGACTTGATGCTGCGATGGAGTGATAAGGTTATTTCAACACACTTCTCTGTGTAAGAAACGCGCTGTTAATAAAAAGACGGCGGAGAGATAATGTGCGCTGGAAAGAAGGGGGGTGTAGCATCCGGACGTTGGGCGTTTTCTTGGTCTACATTTAATCTGACGATTAGATAGTGTCCATGTGAAAGCAAATCGTCTCTCTTGAAGAAATCCTTGATAGGGGCTAATCGGATGCGTGTTTACATTTTTCGTGTAGTTTATGGTTAATATAACCTTTAACGGGCATTTTTTTTTCTTCGTTACAGCTTGCATTTCATCACCAGTAATATAATGCAACGATAGCGATGGTTGATAACCGTTGATTGTTAATTTTTTTTTTTTTTTTTTTTTTTTGCAAATTCCTCCTAAAGGAAGTGATAGTTTCAAGAATATAAAACAAATGAGCATCATTTTTAAACGTTTCGGCCTAGTGCCTTCCTCAGTTTCATTTCCCGATTTCCTTACTGTTTTCACTTTGAATGATTGGTTGTTCTTTGAAGGGAAAATGTAGTAAGGAAATCGGGAGATAATACTGAGGAAGGCACTACTGGGCCGAAACGTTTGACATTGGTGTTCATATTTTTGCACTGTCATATTTAGGTTTATCAACAAGGGCATTTTGGGTAATCATTTTGTGGTTAGGATATCACTGATGAGCATACATGTAGTAATAATTTACATTATGTCTCTTTGATAGTCAGCAAGTTGAATTATATCAACGCTATGATAGGTGTCGGTTATATCAATATATTATTATTATTATCATCATTATTATTATTATTATAAATCAGATGATCTGATGAAAAAAAGAACGATTGATAAATCAAACGGATTAAATCACGGCTCCGAGGTTTGATTGCTAGACCCCTGAAAGGAAGTCGCGTGTGGAGGCTTGGAGACCATCAGGGTTTAGCGACATCTCTTTTTAGTGTGACGGCCATATTTAGTCGGCGGATCAGTTAGTTCTGAATGAGCTCTAATAGTTAGGCGGCTAAGCCAAAAAATTGTGCAAAAGTTGATAAAAGCATGAAACTTTCCACGATGAATGACCATTGGGTGTTTGTCAATTTTGGATCGGGGGGCAACTCCAAAATTCACAAGTACCCGGATGAGCAGCTTTCTTAAAATATGCTGACTCAGCATTTTATGTACATCCAGAATTCACGTAAACGAGCACTACCGGCGTTAATTATGAACATGAATAAATTTGAGAAACGTACACTAACTGCTAACANGGACAAGGGTGCATTGCAATGAGTGCCACACCCAGACACCAATACCGACAAAGCCCAAATTTTACGTGGAACGAGTTGAGATTATAGGTGACCTAAATCCAAGAGATGGGTACGGGGGCCCTCACCGTCTAGGAGGAGAAGCGGTAACAGTAGCCGTCCTGCGGAGCCGGCGGAACCGGCGGAGCCGGCGGAACGATACGGACGGGACCGAAACCATGTGTACCGCCAGCGCTAACGCTGGTGGTACAATAATTTTCAAATGAGGGGGATATAAATAAAAATATTTAAAAAATAGTATAAAAAATATTTTTAAAAAATCAATTACGGACTTATTTTGGCAGTTTCTTTTTGGTGGGAGTTTGAACTGCTAGAGCACATGAATTTTAATGCAAAATTAACATTCAGTAGTCAGTTGTTACCATCTCAACCATGTGAATAAATTTTGCTCATGCAGGGCTAGACTTTAGCATATTTCACTCAGCTGCGAATGAACGCAACCTAACCACCGGGTCTCCCGCTGACGATCTTCCACTAATGAGGCCCTTGAACAAATATTCAAATTGCCTTCTCTTATTGCCGATGAAGTCCCTAAAACGAATATGAAAATTATTTTCTTGTCTCGCTCGGATCGCTACCGACATTCCGCTGACGATATGAAAATTGCCTCTTCATCTCGTTTGGATCGCTAAAGTCTAAATGACATTTGCTACGCCGTACAATGAACTTGTACACATTTTCCGTGCAATTTTTATGACATCGTAAGTGGCTACGGGCAACGACAATTACCTTTACATTACATGCTTGTGCCGTGTCTTGTCGCTAACATGAGCTTAAGCCTGGGTCCCAACGCACGATTTTCAGGACGTACGGTTTTTTAGGTTCCTCTCGTCTGGCTGGGCCGTAACTAGATCGTAGGGAAGAAATTAAGTAACTGGTGATTGTAATTAGTGCGCAAGAAGAAATGCGTGGACAGTACGCGAGAACCTCAGCCTCCGCTCAGTATCTCTGCTCATGCCCTTTCTTTTAAACTTACGGTCCGTGCGCATGGAGTGACCACTTCTCGCTCAACATGCTCGAAGCCCCTGAGTTAAACACGGTGGGCGTGCAGAAATGCGGAGTGAACACGTAGTGAGCAAGAAATAAGTACGTGTATCGAGCGCCTTAACCACATGCATCGCATGCACCGTAGCCACCCAGGCCCAGTAGAGAAAAAGAATTTCCTCGCGTGTCCCGTACGACAGCTGCATGTACTTTTCCATTTTTGGAGAATTCGTAGACCGCATGATCATGTCGAAAAATTTCTACGTGCTGGCTGCGACCTCCAAAATTTGCACGATGGACGTGCTCTTCACGCACCAAATCCTACGTTTTCTCCAATTTTTTTACCATAGACCAGACGTAATAGCCCGTATGTTGGGATGGGACCCAGGCTTAAGGATATTTAGGGGAAATTCGCTTTGTCGGCTGAAAGTGATCATACGGAGTCCGTTCAGTCTCAGTGCAGTTGCAGTTGCAGTTCCGTGTGGCTTTCTAGGAGATAGACACGATGTCGGGACATATTCCTAGGAATTTTAGCACACATGTGGTCAGAATAAAGAAGCGCAACTTCAAATTTGTGGATGTGAATTACAATAGTTTTAAACACCTTTGCTATTGTTATACCCCCTTAACACACCAAAGGTAGAAGGAAATGAAGCCATCTCCCGCTGACGAAGTCCTTTGCACGGATATGAAAATTGCTTTCTCGTCTCATTGCTCGGATCGAAAATAACCTCCTGCTAAAGATATGAAAATTGCCTTGGCGTCTGGGTCTGCCTGCTGCCAATCTTCCGCAAACAAAATCCCTTGAACCAATATGAAAATTGCCTTCTCGTCTCGCTTGGATCGCAAATGATCTCCCTCTGAAGATTTGTAAATTGGCTTCGCATCTTGCCTCAATGGCGAATCACCTAGCTAAGTTGACTTTTCTAACCAAAAAAGGGCATGTCTTTTTCAAACAATTACAGAAAACAACATAGTATTGTTCAACTATTATATTGGTATCCTGACTACTTGGAGGGCTTACGCCCTCACCACACATAAGTTGAATATTAAACAAGCAGATAATGGCAGTGTAGGATAATAGCTAACGAAACATCACGCGGAAAAATCAAAGAAGAAGATGCCGTTAGTTAGACTGATAATATTAGAAATATGCTGATTTTACTGATTTTCTTTACCCTCTGCCTCTACCCTATGTTTTGGCGGCCATTTTGTTTTTTATCAGTAACAATGACGTGTTAGGATGCAGTCCTGTGCCCTATTGTGTTCTTCCGACAGGAAACACATTCACAACAGCCACAAATAAAGTATATCCGTCAACTTCTGGTTGTTTTTCTGTTTTTCCTCAAAAATTGACGGCCATATTGAAAATGCTCAATGTCTCGGAAGTAGCAATCAAGCTAATTTTACCTTTCTAACCCTAAAGGATGCCCTTCTGTAATAAAAAATTACGGGAACGAAACATTGCTGAGTTCGACTATTGTTCCTGTAGGAGAAAGTGGATATTTGTCATTCTAAATTGTGCAATATCACCCAGTGACGTCATCGTGACGTCATCATTGCTCTCATAGATGTGCACAGTGAGCGTACGTTTTTTACATCTATTTATGAAATCATAATAAGTACTGGTAGTGCTTGTTTTGATGAAATCTGAATGTACATAAAATGCTGAGTCAGCACATTTAAGAAAGCCTCTCATCCGGGTACTTGTGAATTTTGGAGTTGCCCCCCGATCCAAAATTGACAAACACCTAAGGNTCTTTTAAATCTATTTATGATATCATAATTAGTACTGTTAGTGCTCGTTTTGATGAAATCTGTATGTACATAAAATGCTGAGTCAGCATATTTAAGAAAGCGTCTCATCCGGGTACTTGTT